GGTATGTGTATTTGTTAAATAAATGATAAGTTGAAAGAAAGCAACCCATGAGTTGATGAAACAACATGAATACATTAATGATGAAACAACAGACACTGTGAAGTTCAGTAATTAAACGCAGCCATCCAACTGGAGAAATAGAGACCTGAATTTTGCCTACTTAGGCAAATCTTTCATTGAAGTCGTGGCTTGATGCATATTAGCAGCCATCAAGCACAATTATTTCAAAGATAGTGAAAATAAAACCTATAGTATTAGAGATTTAAAAACCTTTCAACCTTTCATTCTAAATTAAGCAAATTATGTGAAGCTTGGAAGTTCTAGCTACTGTTCAGGTCAGAAATTCTGCAAGTTCATTCCTTCTAGGTGTGCTAGGCCGAATTTTAACTGCCCCCCGCCCCAGTGACTCACTCTGTAGTGTAATCTTTTGAGTGCAGGAGGGACTTGTGGATATGATTTGGATATTATTTTCTGTGATTAGGTTTTGTTATATGGCATGGTTGACTTTAAGAAGAAACTTACCCTTGGTGGGCCTGACATAATCAGGTGAGCACATAAAAGGGATGAGGCTGTTCTTGGTGAAAAGGATTCAAATTGTTGCAGATTATACATGAAGAGGATTCTTTGTAACTGCAAAATGAAAAGGGTACATGGCAATTAAGGCAAGTTCTAAGAGCTAAAAGTGGCCCCTGTCTGGCATATTGTAAGAAAATGGGATATCTCAGTCCTACAACAAGAAACTAGATTGTGCCAGTACCCTAAATCCTTGAAGTATATACTTGCCCAGTGCCTCCTGGTAAGAATGCTTTCTTTCAACTTATCATTTATTTAATAAATACACATACCAAACACCATGCCAATACATGTACTTTGGTGGATGCATTCAACCATAGCAAGAGGCTCATAAGGAACAAAGGCTCCTTACCCCAAACTGAATGTCTTTCCTCTCCAACATTTTACATTTCTAAGCTTGTTCACCTAGAACCATGTCCCAACATTTACACGTTTAAGAAATAAATATTCATTGACAAATCTAAATATTTATTTTACTAACTTTACTAAGTCAATTGAGAAGTGGATATTTTTTTTAATAAATTGAGATTACATATTAGCATAATGCTTTGAACAAATATTTTTGCATTTGCCACATTAATGAAAAGAGTCTTTATATAAAGTCCATCGGAACAGCACTATATTGAATAAGTTTGTAACCCAGACGGAAGAGCACCACAAATTATTTTTAGGTCTACAAGCATACAAGCTAAGATAATAATAGCACTCATATCATGTAGCATATCCACATTAGAATTTATAAAGATTAAAAACAAAACCCAACTGGCACATTGCTTAGCAATATAGAAAAAAAACATAGAATCTATATTCCTTCAAAGAAAGGCAGCTTTAAAAAATCATAGTAAAAATGTGTATGTTTTGCAGTGGTGCTTGTGGCTCAGTGAGTGGGGCGCCAGCCCCATATACCAAGGGTGGCGGGTTTGAGCCTGGCCCCAGCCAAACTGCTGCAAAAAAAAAAAAATAGCCAGGCATTGTGGTGGGTGCCTGTAGTCCCAGCTACTCCAGAGGCTAAGGCAAGAGAATCGCCCAAGCCCAGAACTTGGAGGTTGCTGTGAGCTATGATGCCACAGTACTCTATTGAGGGTGACAAAGTGAGACTCTGTCACTTAAAAAAAAAAAGTGTATGTTTTCTAAAATCATAACTCTGTAGGCACAAATAATATATCATATGACAAAGACTAGGGCCTGAAAATTGATTATTCTAATACTTATTAATAGTCTTTAATGATAGCTGAGTTATTCAACCAGTTATGAACTGGTTTCATTCCTAAACAGTATTTTTTGTTAGTGAAAATTATAAAAGTATATTTAAAAAGTTTAGACTAAAGAATTTTCTGACATTATTTAGATAAAGGGAGATTAGTTTTATCTCTATGGGCAGGAATGGAGGTTCACAGAATGTCCTCCCTATAGATATATTTGAGCTAATTATCTCCAAAGTAATGACAGAATTAGGGAATAACAATTCTGCAACCTTTAATAGATTAGTGGGTGAGGATGATGATCCTGAGAGACTGCAACACCACCACAAAGGAAGCAACTCACATCCCCCAATGTAAGTGTACACTATCACCTCTGGAGTGGCCTTGCCAACAAACAGATGAATAAATAAACAAACTATACTATGGACAAGTTTCTTCCTATAACTCCTGAAGATTTAATGCTAAGTGTCAAGTACATTGGGTTATTAATCTATTCTCTGTAATGTTTATGTGATTGAGAATTTATGTAATAAAATGTCTATTAGAAATATTATGCCCTTAAATTTGAAAAACCAAGTAAAACAGAACAATTTTTTTTTTTTGAGATGGAGTCTCATTATGTTGCCCTTGGTAGAATGCTGTGGAGTCACAGTTCATAGCAACCTCAAACTCTTGGGCTCAAGCGATTCTCTTGCCTCAGACTCCCAAGTAGCTGGGACGACAGGCACCCATCACAATGCCTGGCTATTTTTTTTTTATTGTAGTTGTCATTGTTCTTTAGCAGGCTGGAGCCTGGCTTGAACCTGTCAGCCCCAGTTTAGTGGCTGGCACTGTAACACTGAGCTACAGGCACTGAGCCAAAATAGAACAATTTTTAACAAAAATATAAATTAACAAGTATGTTCATAAAGAAATAAAAATTAATTATACAGTACAAACTGAAATTAGTCTAGGTCTGGGCACTCACAAAACCGTCCAAGACCAGCAAGGTTTAGAAGTCCATTACACCAAATGCTGAAGGCAAAACTCATCAATACCTTGAGAAAATTCTTACAAATGACACAGAGGAGAAGAAATTACTTGATCACTTTTACGGTTAGCTTTCATTAATACAAAAACTAGATAAAGATTCCCCAAGAAAAGGCCAAACTCGCTCATATAGACACAAATATTCTAACTAAATTTATAGCATATTTAATATAGCAGCGAATAATACAGCAGTGAAGCAACCGGGAAACAGGCTGGGTCTGAGAAATGTAAAGATCAAATCACATTATAAAAAATGTGAACTGGAATTCACTATGTTAACAGAAAAGAGAAAGCATGTGATCATGTGTAGGGATAAAGGACAAGCATCTAGTATGCCAGTTCATGATAATTTCAGTGAACTTACATTAGAATGGAATTTCCATATCATAAAACCAACAGCAAACATAGATAAATGTGAAATGCTAGCAGCGTTCCTGATAGTCCAGAACAAGACACAGAGATATAGTACCAATTCTAGGCTATATTGCATAGCCAGTATACAACCGTACATAAAAACACCAAAGAAAAGTTATGAAAAATGAAAATAAAGAGATATAATGATGATCCTCTAAATAAAAATGCTAAAGAAATCAGATCACAAAATGTTCAAATGCATAAGGAATTTGAAGAACACTACAGTAAAGTCACACAAAATAAATAATTAGAAAATATAATGGAAAATCCCATTTAAAAACAGCAGCAACATAGAAAATACATCTAAAAAGAGCCTTAACACAATTGTACACAAGCTTTTTTGAAGCAAATACAAAATTTCTCTGATACACTGAAGTAAAATATGTACCAAATAGAGCAATATACTATGTTTACTCATGGTAAACACTACATTGTACAGATGTCAACTCTCCTTGTTTTTGAAATTAATGCTTTACCTGATGGGGTTAGCCTCAAGTCAGCAGAGGGGAGGTGGCCCACCACCTAAAAAGAGTTAAGGCGAGACATGAGTGAAGACTGAGGGCACCTTTTACTCAAAAATAGAAACCCCAGACTCAGTGCCTGTAGCACAGTGGTTACAGTACCCGCCACATACACCGAAGTTGGTGGGTTCGAACCGGGCCTGAGCCAGCTAACCAACAATGAGAAAACTGCAACAACAACAACAACAATAACAACAACAACAAAAATAACTGGGTGTTATGGCCGTTGACTGTAGTCCCAGCTACTCGGGAGGCTGAGGCAACAGAATTGCTTGAGCCCAAGAGTTTGAGGTTGCTGTGAGCTGTAACGCCACAGCACTCTACTGAGGAGCAACATAGTAAGACTCTGTCTCAAAAAAAAAAAAAAAAAAAAAAAAAAAAGGGACCCCCCCCCCCACACACACACTAACTTCCACCCCTACTGTCAATCTTGGGAAGGCAAAGGTGTAGCTTCAGGGTTTAGGCTCCACCTACTCTGGAGTCTGAGGTAAATAAAATCCTTGGTCTGAGGCTGACTGAATCTCTCAGCAGAGAGAGAAGTCCCATGGCCTGTGAAATGACCAAGAAAGGACTGTATGTGAGTTCTCAACAAACCTTCCTTGCCCCCAAACAGAGAACTGCTAGAGCTCCGCGCAGCTGTGGTCCCAGCAGGGCCAGGTGGGCGTGACAGGAAGTTGCAGGCTCTGACTTCGGCCTCACTAGACTGCTGCTTGTGAGGTCTTGTCTGAGAGGTGTGGCCGGAAGAAGTCTTGGGAGCCAGCAAGTGTCAAAGTGAGTATCTTTTATTAAAACTTCTGGGTCACGCTTCCCCTGGAACAGGGCAGCCCCACAGAGATCCAACATACTCTGCCCTGCCCTACTCTCACTATCAATCCTTGGTGGAGGAAAGCACAGCTGTTAGACCTAATGATCTCTCACTTTCTTTTGTTTCCTTTCAACCATCTGTGGGATGGGAAGCTAGGACCTAAAGGGGTCAGCCTCATGTTACCAGAGGAAGAAGTCAAAGGATTGTTTAGGAGTTAGAACTTACGCGACAAGTTCCATCAGAACAGAGTCCCACCGCGCCCCTGCCTTGCCTTGTGACATCCTGAAACAGTGCCCTTAGGAGAATGAGCAGAGGCAGCTGTTTTTAGAGCCAAGGTAGAATCTCTCTACCAAGACTGTGAACATAGTACAGTATCTCATCCTTCATCTTCTAGGGTGACCTATTCATCAACCCAACTGCCTGCATTATTACCTGTTGTGCCTGACCAGAGTAATCATGCCTCGAGGACAGAAGAGTAAGCTCCGTGCCCGTGAGAAACGCCGCCAGGCCCGTAGTGAGAAGGAAGATCTGGGAGATGCTCAGGCCACTGCAGCAGCAGATGCATCTCACTCTCCTACCTGCCCTGTCTGTGAAGGTGGATCCCAAAATTTGTCTGGTTCCGAGAAACCTAGCACCTCTAAGATGTCTCAGGAAACCCCATCTACCAGCCGTGCTACTGAAGCTGTTGCAAATGAAGGTGCCAACAGCCAAGATGAGACGAGTTCCTCAAGGGCAAGTGAAAAGTTCCGCAAAGATCCTTTAAACAAGAATGTGGTTTTGCTGGTGCAGTTCCTGTTGCAGAAGTATCAAAAGAAAGAGCCAATTACAAAGGCAGACATGATGAAGTTTATTATCAAGAAATACAAGTGTCAGTTCAATGAGATCCTCAGGAGAGCCTCTGAGCACATGGAGCTGGCCTTTGGTGTTGATTTGAAGGAAGTGGATCCCGTCAGGCACTGCTATGCCCTTGTCAACAAACTAGACATCAGCACTGATGGATCAGTGGGTGAAGAAGAGAACATGCCCAAGACTGGCCTCCTGATGATTGTGCTCGGTGTGATCTTCATGAAAGGCAACTGTGCCCCAGAAGAGGATATCTGGGAAGTGCTGAATATGATGGGTGTATATGCTGATAAGAAGCACTTCATCTATGGGGATCCCAGAAAGGTCATTGCCGAAGATTTGGTGCAGCTAAGGTACCTGAAGTCCCAGCAAGTGCCCGATAGTGATCCTCCACGCTATGAATTCATGTGGGGTCCAAGATCCTACGCAGAAACCAGTAAGATGAAAGTCCTGGAGTTTTTAGCCAAGGTCCATAATACGGTCCCAAGTGCCTTCCCATCCTGGTATGAAGAGGCTTTGCAAGATGAGGAAGAGAGAGCCCAGGCCAGAACCGCGGCCAGGGCTCGCAGCGCACGTCTCAGAGTCATCGCCAGGCTCTCCAGTGCTAATTGAAACCTGAGGCTGTTCCTTCACATCTTCATTGAAAAGGTCTGTTAACTTTCTAATTGTGAAGGGCCACGCTGGGGCTGGAAGGAATAAGTGTATGTCGTCCTTGTGTTCCTGTTGTATATTGGTAGCTCAAATCTTAACTTTCTTTATTTTTCTTTCTAGCTTATATTACAAGTGTTGAAGTCTGAGGAAGATTATTTTTCTTCATGGAAGATAAGGGAAGTTTAAGCAGCAAATAGCCAGGGTGGAGGAACACTGTGTATACCATCGCTGTGTTCTTGTTCTGTATGGGTAACTTGGAGTTTTATCTTTTTCAGTCTTCCTCTATTGCATTCAATTTCAAATGTTTCTTTTAGCAGAAAGTCCTGATAACTTTAGAATCTAATTTATTAATAACTTTAGTTACACATTTTTCTGCTATTTAAAAGTAGGAGTTTTATTATTCTGTAAAGCAAGTTGGAAACCTTTCATATTTGGTGAAACAGAACAAAGAAACAGGACATTAAAAGGCATTTCCTTAAAAATGTGAAATAATTTAGGAGCATAATTTGGAGGGTCAAAAACTAGAGAAAACAAAGTAGAAATGTGTTCTGTTCTTGGTTTCCTTAATACATTTTAGTCAGTTCTATACAAATAAAAAATGCATACCTGGATTCACTTAGCTTACTAATGAATATAGAAAAAAATAAAATGTTTATAAACTGCAATTAGTGCTTGCTGGCTCATTTATTCTCCAAATATTAACTGTGCATCTCTTTTTTGAAAGTCATTTTGTGAGAAAGGGAAGGACTGGGATACAAAACACCCACCTATGCTGATATTTATATATTAAAGAGCAGTAATCATGTAGGGAACATGGTGAAATAGTCCTAGGACCCAAAGAATAAGTAAAACAAAGGGCTAAAAAGGTGAGGGGATGATATGGGGTTTGGGGAAACTGCAGAGAAGGGTCCCTGGCTGAAAACAATAAAGTGTAAGTTCCCTGAGGAAAGGCCATTTGAAGTTTTGGGAAACCACACATTTCTCTCATCGGGGCATAATCTTAATTTAAGGTGGGTGGTGGACTAAATGTAGCTGTGGAACTAATGAGCAGAAGCCAGACACTCAGGTGGTGGGTCTCACCTGAGACATAGAAAGGGACAAAACCCTAGAATTAACAGTTGCCCTTTAGAATTACTTTGGTTCCATTAATAAACAAGAGAAAAACCTCCTTCTGGGGCAGAAATGGGCGGTATCCTGTGCTCTTGTTGGCTTTCAATTGAACACACAGGAAAGACTAATTGTTTTATGCACAGGGTCTCCAAGAAAATTCTGAGAAATAAGGGTGAAACTCCATTGAAGTGGACTACTAAGAAGCTACTGTGTTGACCCTCTTTGCCCTGAACTCAGAGAGCCATAGCCCAATGTCTTACAAGAGCATTTTATTAATTTAATTTTATTTTTTTGCAGTTTTTGGCTGGGTCTGGGTTGCAACCCACCACCTCCAGCATATGGGGCCAGCGCCCTACTCCTGGAGCCACAGGTGCTGCCCACAAGAGCATGAGAGTAAAATGGCAGACTTTAAAGGATAGCTCTATATTTGATGATGTTGAAATGATTGAAAATAGGGGTGGTTTGCGTAGAAAGGCACTTGGGAGGGAAATTTGGTCCTTGACACAGATTCTAGGACCTTTGGTTGCATCCAATTGGAAAAGAGCCCCCCCCACATGTAAATTCAGTAACTTATCCTCAAATTGGGAAATTTTATTTAGTTTTACTTGCTAAATATTATTGTGAGATAATTTAGTATTAATTTTCATAGCAATCTACATAGTCCCCTAAATTCATAAAAATAAATATTCCTAGAAGGGAGAGTGATATCATCTGTGATAAAAATAATCATATGATAACTGCCATTAACAAAAGACCCAATATTTTTCGTCACTCTGCTAAGTACTTCATATGCATTACATGGATTCCAGCAGGTCTACAAAATCAAGCTTATCAAACATATTTGCAGAACTTGTCATTTTCTTAAGTTCATACGGTTGATAAGTAACAGAGTTGGGTGTAGACTCCTGGTCTAATTTGGACAAAAACTGTTTATAAAGCCTATACTTTTCCACTCCTAACCTGGGGCAGGGTTTTCATCTCTTAATTAACTATTCTTCCCCCTAGTATGAAGTGATTAAAAATAAAGAATTCTCTAACCAAAGTATTAGAAACAGGCCTAAAGAAGGAAGGTGAATATGAGAATAAAGTATAAGTCAGGGATTGTGGGCTTCATCTTCTAAGGAGCCTCGTCCCCGGCCCCTTGTGGTATATGTACACCATGGAATATTATGCAACCTGAAAGAAAATTGGAGACTTTACCTCTTATATGTTTACATGGATGGAGCTGGAACCTATTCTTCTCAGCAAAGTGTCTCAAGAATGGAAGAAAAAGTGTCCAATGTACTCAGCCCTACTATGAAACCAATTTATAGTTTTCTTATGAAAGCTATAACCCAATTATAGCCCAAGAAGAAGGGGAAATGGGGAGAGGGAGGGAGGGGAGTGGAGAGGGGAGGGTGGATAGAGGGAGGGAGTGGTGGAACCACACCTACCGTGCATCTTACAAGGGTACATGTGAAATTTACTAGGTATAGAATATGTCTTAACACAATAACTAAGAAAATGCCATGAAGGCTACATTAACCAGTTTGATGAAAATATTTCAAATTGTATATAAAACCAGGACATGTACCCCATGATTGCATTAATGTACACAGCTATGATTTAATAATAAAAAAAAAAGAGTAAACTCAGCCCAGATGCTGGCACATGTCCTAGACTAGCACTGTCTCTCACTGTAGCATCTGTCACCTGGTGTGTGTGTCTTTATGTCCAAACTAACATCTCATCTACTAACCAGCTCTTCCCAGATTTCTCTAAAGGCCATGCCCCTAATTTCTGTGATACAGGCAGCCCAGAATTGCTTGCCCTCCCCTTGACTTATAGTACCCAACTCTCTGCAGATGTCTCTTGGAGGGCCTATCCCTTTCAGTGGAATACCTGACAATGAAATTGAGGTGCCTGATTACCACATACCCTCTCCCACTCCTCAACATTGCAGTAGTCCCCAAATGAGATTGGCTGTTAGAGTCTGGTTTCTGATTTTCCACACAAAATATTGATTCTTGGGATGTAACCAAACTTTGAGATAGGGTTTTGTAAACAACCTAAATACCGTCAATAAGATTAAATTAAATTAATTAATTAATTTACTTTTTGAGACAGAGTCTCACTTTGTCACCCTCAGTAGAGTGCTGTGGCATCACAGCTCACAGCAACCTCCAGCTCTTGGTCTTAGGAGATTCTCTTGCCTCAGCCTCCCTACTAGCTGGGACTACAGGTGCCCGCCACAATGCCAGCCTTTTGTTGTTGTTGTTGCAGTTGTCATTGCTGTTTTAGCTGGCTGGGACTGGGTTTGAACCCTCCACCATCGGTATATGGGGCCGGCGCCCTACTCACTGAGCCATAGGTGCCACCAGTTAATAAGATTTTAAAGGAGTGTGTTATTTGAGACGGCCCCTGAACAAATATGCTGATGGGTGAGTTTACCCAGATAGTCAAAAACCACAGCCACCCTCATAAGTTGGAGATGAGGGAAGACCATGGAAATCATCGCGTAGTAAACATCTACTGAGGCCAAATTCCTCAACCCCTACTCCTAGAGATCTTCTAAAAAGGAAAAAATGGCCTCCTGGCAGACATGCTGTGTTCAAAACAGCAAAGATAAAAATAATTCACCATCCTGCTGCTGCCTCTCATTTCAATGCTTGTTCCAGAGAAAAATCTTGATTGTTTTTTTCTGAGTAATGACACCTGGAAATGTATGTTCAGCCATGTTGAGGTTTCCAGAATTCTTAAGAGGTGACTGTGCACAAATGGAAAGGAACTCTTTCTCATCCGATTTACACTCAGTGCAGAAAGATGCTATTGAGTGGAAAGGGTGCTATCTCCCCACTGAGATTTCCCAGAGCCTTTTGAACATTAAATGTGATCCCATATTTGAAAGCACCTGTGATGTAGGAGACTGATAAAAATCTTAGAGAATTGCAGGGCAAATTTGCCTCCTTACAAACTCCACTAAGAAATGAAAAGGATTGCAGGTAGAGTAAGATGACCAAATAGAGCCCTCTAGCAAGTTTCCCTGCACGTGAACACCAAATTCAATTTCTATCCATGCAAGAAAGCACCTTGAGAACTTGATTATAACATTATATTGATATCGAGGAAAATGGCACTGAACCTGGCAGGAAAGACAGTCTTGCCTTGCCTACCTCACGCCTGCCACATCCCCTGGCAGTGCCACGCCAGCACAAAGTGAAGAGGAAATCTGTGTGCCCAGGGAAAAATTGTGAAATAATTGTAGGAATTTGCATTGGAATGTGGGGCTGCCCTGTCACAGGAGAGCACAGCATAAGGCAGAATTCTGCTGACACCCACGGAGGGAGCATTTAGACCAGCCCAGCCAAAGGACAGTTCTCCACCCTGGTGGTAGAATCCTGAGTTCGGGTTAGCTCCACCAGCAGCTAACAAAAGCAGTCTGCAGCCTGGAATAAATTAGAAAGGCAATTAGACACCATGGTCTGAATACGTTGGGTTATTTCTGCAACTGTATTGGCTCAGGGCCAGTAGATTTGGCATATGTGACCCTTTGAGACACCAGTGGCAATGGTCAAGCAAGTACCTGTGTCACCCCTCTCCCATCTTCAGGTGGTGAAGCTCAGGGATAGTCTTCTTCCACTTGAGGAAAAGAAAAAGAAGAGTGCAAAGAACTATGTCCTGTAACTTGGGTACAAGCTCAGTCACAGTAAATTACCAAGCAAACTCCCAAGCCCTGATTCCAGGCCTTAATTCCTAGACAGTATTTCAAGACACACCAAGGTCCAGAAGGGAATCTAGTGAAGGGAAGAACCCATTCCTGGCAGAATTCACCAGCTGCTGACTAACGAGCCTTTGGGCTTCAACTAAATATC